GCTACCACCTGAGCCACATTCCCAGCCCCTGAAAGTTGCATTTTAAAGTACCTTTCAGATGCAATCTTGTTTCTTCTCTTCTAAAACTAGGTAACAGAGACATTCCATGAACAAGTGCTCTGGTTAATGACAATTTGGGGGGGGGGGATATAAAACAGTGTCCCTTTCCACTCTGGCTGTTGTCTAGAGGAGTTAGGGGCTGGAAGTGCACTGATCACCTGTTAAAAACAAAGTAGCAAAAGCATAGAATCGGTTAAATAATTTTATCGAGTAACTTGCACCTATAGCAGAGATGTGTGCTCTATGATTATGGATCTTTCGATGCCTTGCTTATTAGAATGGATGCCCTATTCTGTGTCTTTTTTCTTCTTTCGCTGTTCTTGGGCACACAAGGCTGAACCTACAACAAAAGTAGCAGCTAGCTCCTCTACGCTAGGCGAATACTTATGCTTTGCCACGTAATCCCTGCAGACACCTGGGTGGTAAGCTTGACATCTGCTTCACAGTTCAGAGAACCCTGAGTCTCAGCTCCAAGGGTTGCGGTGGAAACCCAAGGATGTCGGATGCCAAAGCCCTTTCCTATGCCACAGGCAGCGGGCGGGGTACTGTGGGCTCTGCCCTGTAGCCTGGCATTCCATGCAGCCCTATCTTGTTTGGCTCTGTGGGCCACAGGAAACTGAAAACACACCTGCAGCATCTCCGGTGGAAAGGAGCCAGGAACTCTAGCCATGAGTACAAGGAGAAGTGCTGTGCACGCTGCCAGCGGGCCTTGGGGCTGCTGCTGAACCGGGGGACCGTGTGCCTGGGCTGCAGCCACCGTGTGTGCTCTGAGTGCCGTGTGTTCCTGGGGAGGAGCTCYACCTGGAAGTGCACGGTGTGCTTCGAGGAAAGGTGAGCATCTCCAGGGGTCAGATCGCTCCACTACCAGGCCTCACAGAGGCCTGAAACAACCCTTTAATAAAGTGCAGCCATTCCTCAAACCAATTGATAGATGCTTCCAGAGTGCCCAAGGTGGCTTGGGGGTCCTTTTATTTTGAAAAAAAAAACTGTTATATTAAAAAGTTTTTTTTGTTGTTGTTAATTTATAGCAGTTTGTCAGGCTACCGAGGGATTAACCCTGGAGTTCAGATTCATCTGGACCACTTGACTAGGGCCTTAATTTATCTTCCTCAGTGAAAATGGAGTGAATGGGGCATAGGGAATGTGAGGGGGAGCCTGTGCACCTTTCAACGAGGCCTCTCTGCAGGAGGCTAGCTGGACTGTATTTGATACTCAGATAAAGAACTGGATTTGGTTCCTATTGGTGAAATACTGAATCTGTGTTCATTTTAACCTTTTGGTGGTAAGGTTCTTAAACAAATTTTAACATAGAATTGGTGTTTTTGAGCTGCCTGTTTTGAAAATGGCAACATATTGATTTGCCTTGGATCAGTATCATTCAAAGCAAGAATGGGCAAGTCATGGATTCCTTGAAAACATAGGAGGGGTCTCTTTTGGGGGAGAGGGTGAAAAAGGACACCATGGAGCTTACCAGAAGGAGGAATGTGAGGCATTGTCAATMTGGAGAGTAATCAGAGACCTGAAAAATGACGTCTAAATGTGTACRGGTGGCCCAGGGACAGAGTGGAGAGTTGCTCACACAGTGGGRATGGTGTCTAGGCTCTCTCTCCTAAACCAGGAGGGCTGTCTTTACCTGATACCCTGACATTAATCTACTTAATTTCCCGTCCCTTTGCAAGGTGTAATGTATTTCAGTTATTCAACCAAAGAGAAAAGTRGTTCAACCTGATCTCCTTGCTGAATTCTACAGCAGCTCACCACGTCGCCCTGACTTCCATTAGTCACCCTTGTTTCTTTGGTTGGCTGGAGTCTGAGCCTTCTAGGCTTTTCTTAGCTCAAGAGTGAAAACCAAAGCCCCTACTATGAGCTGCCCTGGACACATGGATGTTGAAGCAGGCCTGGGGCCCTCAGGAGAGCAGATGACAATTCCAATCATCTCTAGGAAGGTCTAAATACCTTCTTCCCCATTTCAATCAATGCTCTAGATTTGAAATTTAGTACTCAGTGGCTCAGGAGGCTGAGGCAGGAAGGCCAGCCTCAGCAATTTAGCAAGGTCCTAAGCAACTTAGTGAGACCCTGACTCAAAATTAAAAAAAAAAAATGTGGATGGGGTGCTGTGGATGTAGCTCAGTGGTTAACTGTGCCTGGGTTCAATCCCTGGCATGAAAGAAAGGGAGAGGGAGAAGAAGAGGGAGAGGGAGAGATAGAATTAGAGAGATAGAGAGCATGAGAGAGAGAGAGAGAGAGAGAGAGAGAGAGAGAGAGAGAGAGAAAGAAAGAAATTAATTTGATAAACCTTGCCTGGTGAGACTCAAGATCCCTCAGTAGTTTTTCATCTTCTCATGATTAAGTGTAAATTAAAAATCAAAACAGGAGTTTAGAGGCTGAGGCAACTCTCAGGAAGCTGACCCATCTTGAAATCTCTGTCCTAGAGGGCATGATGCCCAGGCATTGTAACTCTCTAAGTACATGAAATGTCATTTCTAAAACCCCAGTTTCCTTATTTTGAAATAAGGGTGTTTYCAAAATACCTGAGGTAATTGCATCACTGAGTGGTGGGGATGGGGGTGGGTTGTTAATCTGCGCCTGCCTTCTTCCTTTGGCTCTGCCCCTTCTTCACGGCCCTCGTCCTCTCTCCAGCTTTGTCCTTTCTGGCTGCCCTCCTGGTTCAGGACCAAAGACAAGGCTTTGTAAAACTTCAGAAGGCTGTTTGACGTTCCTCGCTGCCTCCCCCTGGGACCTGAGAAATCCTCTTGACCCCACTCATTTTTCTCCCCTGCTTCTCCCTCAGCTTGAGGCTCCTTTTTCAGGAAGAAGTGCTTKGAGGACAGGATGAGGGGGGAAAGTTTTTAAATTCAGGAATGGGGAGCTCTGGGGTAGCAATTAAAAATACAGACCAACTTACAGATTGTTGTAAAGCAAAAGGCCTGTGAGCTGTGCTGGCCTGGGCTGTGTGGTAGGCCCAGGGGACATGTTTATAGGGCTTCTGCTTTCAGGGAAAGACCTCTCTTGGAGGACTGCCATCGCAGAGCTGCTGGGGGTGGGGAGCTCAGAGGAGCTCTGAGGAGGGAGAGAAGAGGCGGATTTCTAGACCATCCGTAGCTGGAGTACTCCTTCAGCTTTATTTAAACCTTCCAACAATCCCAAGTGGGAGCTACTACCCTCATTCTCATTTTGTGGAGGAGAAAGGGGAGGCTGAGACATAATATAGTGTGTCCTGGAGCCCAGGTCCCCTCTGAGTCCTCACTGTGGCCACCTGCTGGGATACTTGCGTGGGAGGGCAGAGTCTTCAAAGCTACTCAAACAGCTGTGTCCCCCGCAGCAGGAATGGAGGGTGAGCAAAGGCTCTTTACTCCATGAAAACCCTACCAAGAGTGTTATTCTGCTGGGTGGACTCAAGAGGCGGAAGATGAAGGTAAAGGGCAATGAGAAGGTCCCTGCGGTGAAGAGCACCCAGTGGGAGCCTGGTACTGGAGTGGTGGGGACCCGAGAGGCAGTTCAAAAAGGGGTGAGGGAACTCGGCTGCAGGGACCAGAGGGAAGAGTGGAGCCTGCTCTGAGGCCTGGCCAAGCAGYGAGCAGCTAGCTTTGCAGCAGTCTTAAGGCTTCAGAGAACCAGAGGAAACAGAGAAGGGGGAGAGGAGCAACAGGGAGAACTCGGTGAAGGAAGAGGAGGTGGAGAGGGCTCCAAGAAGCTGGCTGAACGTTGCTTTCTGCAGTGAGAGGGCAGGTGTGGTCCTCGGCAGGTGCCCACCAGAAGAAGGTGACTCCAGTAGGAAGGGTGTGCTTGGGGAGAAGGAAGACGGAAAGCAGACAGAAGCATGAACCTACCCTGGCTTAACACTTGGGTTCCCTTCCTTGGAATTTATTGAGAGTTTCTACTGTGAAATGGCCCAACTTTGATGGGGCAAATGGGAGGAAGGGTAGAGAGGGTACATGGGGGCGGGAAAGACAGTGGAATAAGATGGACATCAATACCCTAGGTACATGTGTGACTGCACATATGGTGTGACCTACATCGTGTACAACCAGAGAAATGTAAAGTTGTGTTGCAATTGTGTACAATGAATCAAAATGCATTCTGCTGTCATATATACCTAATTAAAAATAATTAATTAATTAAAAAAATGAAATGGCCCAAGATAAAACTATGTTGAAATGTCAGGGAGACTAAGCTATTTATTTGCTTGTTTTTGCTCATTATATATATATATAATTTATTTATTTATTTTGGGGTACTGGGATTTATTTTTGGGTACTGGGTATTGAACTCAGAGGCACTCAGCCACTGAATCCCATCCCCAGCCCTATTTTGTATTTTATTTAGAGACAAAGTCTCATGGAGTTGCTTAACAYCTTGCTGTTGCTGAGGCTGACTTTGATCCTCCTGTCTCAGCCTCCTGAGTCACTGGGATTGCAGGCATATACCACTACGCCAAGCTGCTCATTTAAAAAAAAAAAAAAAGAAAATTATTATTTTTTTTTAGTTGTAATTGGACACAATACCTTAATTTTATTTATTTATTTTTTTATGGGGTGCTGAGGATTGAACTGAGGGCCTTGCATGTGCTAGGCGAGCACTCCACTACTGAGCCACAACCCCAGCCCCATTTKTTTTTAAAGGTAAGATTGAACTTGGTGACTTAGGTTTGTACTGATTTTTTTTTCTTCTTAAATAATGTTCTAGGGCTGGGGATATGGCTCAGTGAGAGCACTTGTCAAGCATGCATGTGGCCTTGGGTTCCATCCCCAAGACTGCAAAAAAAAAAAAAAAAAAATTCTTTATGCAGTGGCTTCAAATTCCACTTGTCTGAGAGATATCTGCTCATCTCTGAGGTACAAGATTGCCGAGGAATTGCTATCACATAGGCTCTTTCACTTGCTTTGTAATTGGCTATGACCTAACAGATTCATTCTTCAGATATTTGTGAGTATGCTCCTGTTTCATTTGAGAATATGTATCATACATTTACAAATTCTCAAGAGGTTATTASGTATATTTATCATTATTATTACTATTATTATTTTGTAGTGCTGAGGGTGGAACCTGGGGTCTTGTGTATGTGATACGCAAGTGCTTTACCACTGAGCTGCACCCCWGACCCCAGAGTTTGTTTTGCTTTGTTTTCATTGGGATATTTTGCTGGTAGTGAGACTTCTTTGGTCTGATTAGGTTCAAAACTTGTTGCTCAAGAAATTCTCCATGTTTTCAATATTTTAACAATATATGTGCCACTGAACTTTTATAAGACAATRAGAAGATTTTAGACTAAGGTTTCAATTTGCAGCAGGTTCACGGTGTTTTCTTAGTTACTCKGGTGCCTCTGGTGCCACAGCTGGTGCCAATGGGGAGCAGCATAATGCTCAGCTGGAAACAGACCCAGACCTTGATCTTGGCACTTCATCACCTCAGTTCTCAGGTTCTCAGTCCTGAGGTGTTGCAGAGCAGAAATGGTGAACGTACATCTTGGAATTTATCATAAGGGATTTAATTTGGCTCAGGTGCCTTTTTGATTAGGATTTGGAGGTAAGCGTGTCGTCACGGATGCATTCATTGTATTTTCTACATTGCATGGGAGAATTTTTATGGAAAATCATGCAATGTTTCAATAATGGTTCTATAACAAAATTATTTCCTGCTTAAAATAAAACTTTCAGAGGTTAGAAAATGTACTCCTGATTTCACAAGGGAAGAGCTTTGTCTTTGCTGTACAGGTTTCGGTCTTGCTGAACTAGATTGCACCAAGGAATACTCTATGGCTCCACTCACCTAGATCCTTGGCCCAAGATTTTTTAATTTTTAATTTTTGTTTGTTTTTTGTTTTATTTTGG